AATAGCTGTTGATAGACCTGACCTATGGCAATGATCTGTGATCCCAAACAGGATTTACTGTCAGGGTTTTATGTTTTTGGTTTTGGGGGGTTTTGGGGTGGGGGGCAGGTGTTGAAAAACAGCATTTTAGGTCACTTCTAACTCCTTTAGGTCAACTCCTGCCTCAGCAGGCATTATTGCTACAGCTTGTTTGATAGGTACACGGTGAATTATTTCCCACAGTCATTTTCAAGTTGTGCAAGATCTGCAGTTATCCTGTTCCTAGGTAAGAACTACTGCTTGGAGGAGAATGGAAATGCTGACAAATACCAATACCTCTGAGAGAGGCTTTAGATCATTATCAACATGTACGTTAAGACCTACTTCTTGCAAAAAAAAAAACAAAAAACAAAATGCATTCTAAAGGGAGAGGGTGGGGACGAGAAAGAGTTGAAAAGTCAACATTTCCTTCACCAGCTCCCAAAACCTGAATTCTGAGTTCTGCCTTTCCTTTGCATGAGCTGAAAGTAACTAGATGATTTTTCAGTTTTTCAGTTCATGAGTTGGAAGTTACTAACATATGTAATCATCTTTGCTAAAGATTTCATTAAGCTACTGCCCACTTATGTCTAAATGCACCAAAGTATCAAGAAGCTGAATGCAGGGCTCATCCGAGTCACCTTAAGCTCAGATGCTAGAAACCTGTATAAGGCAGCACAACAAATACTGCTTTACTGCTTACTCTGGACAATAGCTGGACCTCTTGCTGCCTTCAGCTAGAATAAAGGGGGTTTAAAGCACGCCTCTGGGATTAAGAGCGACGGAACTGATGATTTTCCACAAAGAAATGCAGGAAAGAAAAATGAGATGAAAGGCTATGCCAGGTGTTTGAGTTGCTAGTAAAGTCAACCATGGGAAGGAAACAACTTTGGTGTATATCTACTGTGTGGGAGTTCTGCTCAAGTTGAAATTTCCACCAATTTGCATCAAGGGGCTACAGTCTCTCTATATGTATTTCAAAAGACAAACAACACATGCACACAGTCAACTACAAAAAAAAAAAAAAATTATATATATATATAAAACCTTTTTTTTTTGTCATGAAACAGATGCTGTGAGTATTTGCATCATGCTCAATGGCTATTTATCCATTGGCTACCAAGTGGATAACCAATTTTTTAATGAATCTAGTCCATGTAGCCTCTCAATCCGAATATGAAGTAGGCAGTCTATAACCCTACTACCTTCTGAAACATCCGAGTATTACGGTTTTGGTCACATGCTTTCCGAGTTCTCCCTCATAAACACTAATGACCGTAATACTGCTCGCCTAATTACTGGCTCGTAAATAAGGAATACTCCTACCCGATTTTTAATGCAGCATGGAGACAATCCCCTTATCGAAATGTCCCTTTAGTCTTGATTTACATTAACAGTCCAGAGGTAAAGCCAGACTTAGAAATATACTGCCTGATCCAAAGCCCCAGGCACGTCAGTGAAAAGATTCCCAGGGATTTCATTCAGCTCTCTCTCAAGCCCACGCCCTTCCTTCTGAGGCTGGCTTTCTTGATTTTCTCCTTGCAGGGCCTTCCTGTCCCTTCTATAATTCTCTCTTGCTTCAGAAAACTCATCTCTTTTTCAAGCTGGAGGTGAGACCTATGTGGTTGGGCTGCAAGGGGTAGCCAGTAGAATAACTCTGTATGCAAACCCTAGAACCTGGCTTCATAGCTCCTGACCTCTTGCAAGTGCTGAACAATGTGCTTAATCAGTCTCAGATGCTTTTTTTGTGGAAAATTCTGCTATCTTTAGTAAGAATTTGATCCATCAGCAGCATCACTCCCACTTTCCCACATCAGGCTCAACTCTGCCCCTTCTCTTATACATGCATATACATTGCATGGCTAATGAGCCAGAAATATCCATGAGATTCATACGAATCCCATAGGAAGGCCTATTTGTTACACACCAGCCATCTGTGGACCAAGCCCCACAAAGAACTTAAGCCCAACTGTTTCTAGAGTAGGGGCAATAAATGTGTACAATTACTTGGGGCAACTAAAGATAAAACAGGGACAGGAGTGTCGGGCAAAGGTAAACAGCAAGTGCTCCAGGGGGACATACTGAGCAGAGCATGCCTGCCAGCGCCTACTGCCCCTTGAACAAGCCCAAAGAGCCAGGGAACATCACCCAGCGGAGTACTGCCTGGAGACATGCACAGGAAAACAGCCCCACACTCACTGGGGTTTCCCCTGCCAGGAATCTTCTTCCTGGGCTGGTGGATGATGAGCATGGCCAGAGCCAGGAGGTCCCAGGACTTGCTGGGGCAACAGATAGGGAGTGCGTAGAAGATAATGTGCGGGGAGAAGTGCAGCCAGAATCCCAGCAGGAAGGTCCAGAGGAGGTAAAAGGGTGGCAGCCTGGCACACTCAAAGTAGGCGTGTGCCAGGGAATCTAAAAGAATGGAAACTGCTTCCCATTATCAATACTGATAACTTGGAGTCAACAGGAGTTACACATGCAGATCTGGCTTAATACTGAACTGTCAAAGCTGAGTTTTGGTCCCCACCAATGGTTCCATGGAGGGACTGCGCATTAAAACACTCAATAAGACAAACTGTCTTTCATACATTTAGCAACTAATTATTTCCTTTTTAGCACAGGAATTATGTTCCATGCGGTTTCAAGCCCTCAGCACCGCTGGCCGCAATTTCAGGAAAGCTTATATCTATTAATGAAATGTCTGCACTACAGGGCTCACTTCCTTCCACTGACTAGTGAACTACTCAAATTTTTCCACATGGCAGGAAAGTCTCACAGTGCTTATTGGAATCGCTATGGTCATCGTTACTGAGCACTTCATTACATGATTACAGTCATAGTCACGAGGCTGATCGCTAAAAAGGAGCACAGCCAAAGGCTGCAGAGTATGGTCTTGACTTGCTGGTCACTGTTGTTATTGCTGAAAGCATGCAAAGGAGAACTGGAACAAAATTCTGCCTCAAGCTCTTCTTGATTGACTTCCATCAAATAATTATTTTTTCCCCACAGTCTGCCAGTAGAGAGAGGCAAACATCTCTATTCTAGCTTTATCTGTTCATTAGAAAAAAGAATAAGCCTGAAAACTCTTGAGGAAGATAAAAGATAGCGTGCCCCTAGCACTAGTGCGCCACTCTTTCACCGACACGAGACTTTGATTAGCTGCATGCAACAAATCTAGCTGTGTGTTACCTTGCTCTTCAACTTTTTTTAACTAAAGTCATCCCCCACCCATACTTGGCAAATATATAAATTATATAAGTGGATGAAAACACTTCAACAAGAACTGCGTTTACAAGTAATGTATATGTAAATGCCCCCTAGTTAACTGAATGCTTCAACCAACTGCTTGACTGCAAGTCCTGGTTAACCAAAGTGTGGTCATGTCCCCAAACATTAACAAGCTCACTTCATTTCTGTCTCATTCAGCCAGAACTTCAATCAGTCAAATAATGTTGATGTTGTAACGTATGCCTTTCAGTTACTCGTGTCTATTAACCTTAAAGAAACTGAAAGGCCAAGGCACCGTCTCCGTTTGAACAGGTTCATCAGAGAGACGTAAACAGTCAGCTCCTCGACTGCCCTCAGGTTCAGGTTCCAAATGTTCCCTTTACAAAAGCCAAGATAAAACCCAGCGACGTGCCTGAGCTGTAACACAGATACATATCTGAACTCCCCCCGAGTTCACAGCCTTTCATCAAATAAATAGATGGTCAAGGGTGCTTCACCTAAGTTTCACATGAAAACTGAACCAGTAGACAACCCATCCCAGAAAAAAGGTTATGTAAGCAGATGTGCCAGCTCTAGGTTTTAAGCACATGCCAGGCTCAGCAGAGTCTAAAATCCATGCATAATTTTAACACCAACTGCTGCTGCAGCTTCCTGAGCCTGACGAAGGGTTGTTGAACCCGAAAGCTTGCTTAATAACTATTCTCCAACCATTTGGGTTGGTCTAATAAAAGATATCAAATTCACCCAAGGAACCTTGTCTGCCTATATCCTTAGACCAACACGGCTACAACCTAAACCCCTAATTTTAACAGTGAAACTTAAGGGTTTTCTATTTAAATTATGCCAACACTAATACAGCTGAACTTTTTGGTTACAAGAGTGGAAATGAAGTGCAGCTGCCAGAACCACTAAGCAGTCTCTGGATGGTTTTATTTGCTTTCCTGCAGATGCAGCAAGAGTTCTCCAGCTATTTCATTCCTTTAATCAGTTATAAGAATTAAAATCTTCACACAGGTATGCTTTTCTTTTCCATATACCCCAACCTCCCTCTCAAACGGTGCTGACGCTGTTTGGTTTTGCAGACCACCCAAAGGCAATCCACAGACCAGAGCTGGGGAGCCACAGGTGAGAAATATGTACTGCAGGTCTACGTCCTCTCTGGCAAGTCCCAGGAATGTTTAGCATTTCCGGGCTGCAGCAACAGCAGTCAGTTCACATCCAGACAGCGAAGAGGAATGGGATGAACTTGCTCGGTGCAGGGAGCCCCCGTGTCCCTCCAGCAGCAAGAGCTACAACGAGACATCCCACACACCTCTACAGCACTCTCCACAAAACCATTCTTCCCTGCGGGGCCAATGGAGCCCAAACGAACCAAAAGTTTTTCTTCTCTTGAAAGAAACCACCGCTCACAAATCGCTCAGCACCTTCAAAAGCCACTGCAGGGTTTGTTGGTCTAATAAAAGATCTCTCTACTCCCAGTCCGGATTGCCTTTTCCTCTAGACCAATACGGCTACAACCTGGATCCCCGCCTGCAGGTTTGTCACTTTTGTCACCCACAAGTTAAAGCGGGGTGTTAACTACACTTGGGATAAAGGCTCCCAACAAACCAGCTCTGACTGATCATCCCTGAGAAAAAGAGAAAGAAACCACAGCTCGCAAATCACTCCGCGCCCTCCAAACCCCACTACATCTCTGCAATTAGTTTGCAGGAGCCGGCTCCCCCCGGGGCTCAGCCCCGGCGGCCGGGACCCACCCAGAAGACGAGGCTGAGCAGCAGCAGCACGGTCTTGGAGGTGATCACGCCGCAGTCCATGGCTCCGTCTGCGCTGCGCTGCGCTGGGCCGGGCTGCGGGCTGCGGCCCCGCCCGCCCGGGACGCTCCGACCCGCCTCCCGGGCTGCGCCTCCGGCCGCGGCAGCATCAAGTGGTGCCAGGTGTGAGGTCCTAATGGGGCTGGTGTGTGCACGATCATTGCTGGCACGACCCACGCTAGTGAAAGTGCTCACAAGGTCCAAGAGACAGACCAGGTTCTTGGGGGAAATCTGGGATCTTTGAGTAAACCAACTCAAAAGATTTTTCCAACCATTTAGTGGGTGTCATGTAAAAGATAACAGCTTTACCCCAAGAAGCTTGCCTGCCTATGTGCTTAGACCAACACGGCGACAACCAATACCCCTGAAATAAAAAGTAGGATCATTTTTGATATAGCACAAAACCCAAGTCATTCTCAGAGAGTGGGGGTTGCTGTCAGGACTTTTTTTAGAGCTGCTTGGCTGGGAATAGCTACCAGTGCGTGCAGGGGGCAGGGTTTCTCAGAGGAGGGGGTAGTGGGGAGAGAGCGGGACACTTCTGGGAGGTGAGACCTTCCTGGTCAGGTCTGCGTGGGGAAGCTTGTACGCCTGGTCCGATAAAAGCCATGGCCCAGGGTCTGTGACGCCCAGGGTGTCTCCTCAGGGTTTTTACTTTATCCAGGGAAAGACAACAGAAGACAAAGCAAGTTCCTCCCGACTAGACAGGGGCGTACTGGGATGCTGGCCCTTGGGCAATACACGCAAGAGAGCGCCCAGACAGGCTTACTACCCCGGTGGGCCCTCAGCATCCCTCCTCAGGGGTTGAGGCAAGTCCCAGACACCCACCCCTCTGCCTTTTTGTGGGGAAATGTGATACATGGTTCAGATTTGTGTATTCTGGCCCATTCCTCCAAGATGAGCATCTCTTGGCTAATTCGGTAGGGAGCAGAGAAACTGAGTCACAGCCTGAGACAGTCGTCCTTTTCTAGGGTCCCCATATTATCATGGGGTGTGATCTCTGGCCTGTGCATCTCAGCTCCCTTGAAACGGCCCCTCACAATCCAGTTTCACTAATCATTTTTGTTATTCAGACTGAACTGCTGGGATCAGAGTACCTGGGAGGAGGGAAGTGACACACCCAGCACAGCAAAAAGGGGTGAGGGGTGTTCAAGACTCCCCAACAGGTGGATAGAGGATTGTGAAAAAGGGGGTGCAGATGGCAAGCTGAACTGTCACATATAAAACAAGACACATTTTTCTCCAGTAAAAAATAAACTAGAAGTTTTACTCGTAGGCCTGAGGTCTAGGGCTGGATAGTTCAGTTTAAGTTTGAAGCAACAACAACTATAACTTCATTGGAATGAGTTAAAAACAGTCTGCAGGGCTGGGAAATAGGAGCAGCTACAGACAGCAGGAGGACAGAACAAAGGCTAGCTTGGTCCTTGGAACATCAAGACCATTCAAAAGAAGAAAGGGTCATTAACATCTGTGGAATTAAGTGTTTATAAGGGATCAGGTTGATGATAATGAGTCATGAAGTCAACTGACTCCCTCAGCACTGTTGCTGCTACTGCCAGGCAGGTGGTTTTAAACTTTGGGTGCATGCAAGTGCACCAGTGCACCTCCCCAGATCCAGCCCTGGATGGCTCCCAGGGCTGCTGCTGCTCCCCAACCTCTGTGGGTATGGCAGTATCAGCCTTTACTAGAGGCCACATTTCTGAGTTACCAAGAAATGCAAAGAGGCGAGGATTTCTTAAGGAAATCACTTTTATTGGACCAACTGTGGTTGGGATAGTTAGAGCAGCTATTGAATACAAGGCATTCTTTGTCAGGTCTGCATTCAAAAGCTTGCCTGACTATTCCGACTACATGGTTGGTCCAATAAAAACTATCACCCAAAGAAATCCTTGCCCCTCCCATACTTTCTGGACCATCACTGCTACATCGCTCCTATACTACTAGCAAATGCAAACACACATTTCAGATCACATCTCTTCACCTACTGACTGCACTGGCTGCCCAGTGAGTGAGCAGATGCCCGCCTGCCTGATGTCCAGTGCAAGGACTCAGAACTGCCCAGTGCTCCCTACTAGCTAGAGCTGGAGGAGCACTGGACTCTCCCACTTACTGGCCTTTCTGTTAAATTAAATTAAAAACAACATCACTTGGGGGCTGAAGGGCAAATTTCAAAACATTTCTGCAAGTCAGAAAGTTAAAGGAGTGCTTTGTTTCAGCTCTGAGCACCTGTAAAAGTTTTGCTTTGATTATGAGCAGATATTTCAGAATGGAAAGGCATTCCAGTATGGAAATATCAAAATGTTTAACAATGTCAAAGCATTTTTCTTCTAAATGCTTTAGGGTCCCCTGCCCCTGCTAAAAATATGATTCAGGACAATTGAAACAAATGTGTTAAATGTTCATTGTTGCAGATTCTGTATTTGTCACTCGCTGTTCTGTATTTTTCTGCACTTGATGGAAAAATATTGCCTGGAGTAACTAAGGATACTTTTCCTTTAACATGACAGAAAAGGATGCCGAGCACTTTTACTCTTGTCTTTCTCAGTCTTTTTGATTCGATGCCCCCTAACTGGAAGTAACAAATGTTCACAAACTATTTCAGTAAGATAAAAATGTATCCGTGATAACAGTGATAGACTTCTAGAACATGCTTGTTCTGAGAGTTTCACAAAGAACTCGGGATCTTTAATGGGGAGGGAGGAGTATGCAGTGTGCTCAAGAGTTAAACTTACATTTCAGTGCTTCACAAACTTCCTGGTTGTTTTTGTGACCCAAGGGGAGGGGAATGAGGTATAGTGTTCCAGTATTTGAGAATGCTGCTTTGGCTCATCTGCTAAGTGAGAGGGACAGGAATAAGAATGCTGCTTTAACTTACCTGGTAAAGGTTAGAGGACCTATGCTCCATCCTCAGTGGCAAGATAAAGCTCAAAGTGAATGTGGCATGTAGTTGGTTGTACTCGATGTGTTTTGACAATCTGACCACTTTCCACCACTCTTTCCACTTGAGAGAGAGTACACAGAACAGGATACAGTGATATTAAATTCTGGCAAACGCTGCAAAGGTTTTACTGGCAAAAGGAGCATTTCTTACAGTTTCTTCACGGTGTACGGCATGAGAATGCAGACTTCTCACGGGGTGTGCTGAACTGTCTCATTAGCAGGCAGTCATAGGCAGGGAGATCAAAGTAACAAGTATTGCAATAGTATTATGAATTCAAGTGAAACAAAGTCAATCCCATGCCTGCTCCACCCTCATCCTGCAAATTTATATGGTAGTAAAATAGTTCTTTTCTTTAGCTATGATTATGTGCTGTTTGTTATAATCCAGCAATGTACTTGGCTCTATACAAAACTCAAAATAAAGATAATCCCTGCGTTAAAGCCTCACATTTAAAGAAGGGGTGAAAACCTAGGATTTGTGCAACTTTTAGCACACTATTGACTTCTTGTGGGCAACATGGAAAAAGTGGGCCTGCAGAAGGATATGAACAGGATTAATGGGGAAGGGGTTTTCCTCTGCCATTAATCCTGAAATTTCCAAAATTCTACATACCACATCAAGATGAACCCAAGACTGTTGAGAAACAGACACCAGAAGAGCAAAACAGGTTTGCTGTTACAGTCCTTCCCTGAGATGTAGCCTTCAAAAGGAAGGAGTATGATTCAAAACCCTGGTTTGAATGAGGTAGAACAGGGCTTGAATGCATCTCCTGCCCACCAGGCTATTCTCTCTCTCTCTCTCTCATTTTGACAAGAAGTTCAATCCTGATCCTGTGGCCCTTTCCTGACAAACAGTTCGGTGGAACTGGTATTTCCTGTGCACCGCTTTTGTTTTGATTAATGACTAGTTTCCAAAAACAACAAGAAAAAATCATTGACCATTCTCAACAAGGTCTAGGCTTGGTCTCGAGTTTATTTTCTGTCTTTTTTCTGTATTTTGCCTCCACACAAGGAAGCTGAGATTTTCAAAGCAACATAAGGGATTCTATTAAAATTCACAGAGGATGTGTGGCCCAAATTCCCTGCATTTCTCTAATATCAACCTGTTGTGTGCCATCTGATCATTACAAAATAGGCCACGACTCCCTGCACTTATGTTTGCACATAGTACCCAAGTGGCTTTCTAGATGTCTTTTGCCATCTCTGTCCTCTGTTCATTTTAGACAGTAACTCACCCAACTCATAATTCTCATGTGTGTTTCAGTATCATTTTCCTTTCTTTTGCTTGGGATTGTCCATTCATTTGTGTCCTGTCCTGTGTTTAGAGGGTCTGACATTGTGTGGCATGAAGATCACTTAGTTCCAAGCCTATGAGTATCTCATTTCTACAAATGATGTCTTTTAACTCTGATTACCTGAGACAGGATAGTAATATTTTCCATTGAGATGTGGATTGCCACTTCCAGGGCAAGAGCTGCCTTTCTGTTTTCTGGACGGGCATGTTAGACAACGCGATATTCAATCAAGGAGAGAAGCCCAAGCAGGGGAAACTGTTGACATCTGAAAACTGAACAAACCAGTCACACAAGGGCCTGTGCAACACTTATTATGTACATAAAACAATATAAACAGAATGTACCACTTGTTTGTGAGTGTACAAACTGCACCTGTGAAATGACAATATTGTGAGGGCAAACTTCTGTGAAATATTAAAAAGTAGCTGACTTCTATCTTCCCTCAGACTGTTATATGTATTGTAAAATTTCCCAGTTTCTTTTAATCATTACTACAATTTTTTTGCCTTCTGATTCTTATTGTTTAAGCTGTTCTGCCATTGTCTGTCTCCAAATACATTGCTTTCAATTTATTCTTTCATTCTAATTTTTTTTCTCTGTAGTTATTCCTCTCTTTTCCCCTCTGATGCCTGACTGGCCTGTAGTTGCCCCTGCTCAGCTTTCATTAACTTTCCTACATGACTATTCACTTTTCCCTCTAAAACACATATGAACATGGTAGACCTTCTTTATTGGTACTTACTGAGTGCATCTACACATACATTTGATCTGGCCTAAACTACTTTGGTGTAAACTACTTTGGAGTAAACACTTTCAGCAGGTGTCTAA